GTAAAATTGTGATCGGGGTTGATCCCTGAGATGAATAAAAGATGGTTTGGTGTGCAAAGCTATATGGTATGAATAGAATTTGGAAAAGATTAAAAAATAATGTGAAAGAAAAATAAAGAAAGAAATAATAAGAATAAATTTGAAATCAAAATGAAAGATGGGGGAAATAAGAAAAGTGGTTCACGTGGTTTCTTGTCCCACTGTTTTGTGAAAATCGGTAATGGGGTTCGGTATATATATATATATATTTTGTTAGTGGATTAATAATAATAATAATAATAATAATAACAATAATATATTAAGGAGGAAAGCATGTGCGCTGGTGGGTGGGAAAGTGAGAAAAATGAGAGAGAGAGAGAGTGGGGTACATGATGATGATGAGAAAATGAATAAAAAAAAGTGATTGTGTGTAAGGCGGTGGCGTGAGTCAAAAAAGTGAAAACTTCAGAGGGACTGTGCGCAGATGAGGCACTCTCCGATGCGTCTAGGGTTTCTTCCTCGAGCTGCCTCCGCACCCTCTTGTATCATCTTCTGCAACTCGATCACAACCCACATCCCTCAACCATGGCGGAACAGACCGAGAAGGCGTGCTTGAAGCAGCCCAAGGTGTGCCTTTGCTCGAAGAAAACAGGGAAGGGGAAGAGACCTGGAAAGGGTGGGAATCGGTACTGGAAGAATGTTGGCTTGGGGTTCAAGACTCCCAGAGATGCCATTGAAGGAACTTATATTGACAAGAAATGTCCATTCACCGGCGATGTCTCTATAAGGGGACGTATACTTGCTGGAACCGGCCACAGTGCCAAGATGATGAGAACAATCATTGTTCGACGCAACTACCTTCATTTTGTCAAGAAATACCAGAGGTATGAGAAGAGGCATTCAAATATTCCAGCTCACATATCTCCATGCTTTCGTGTGAAAGAGGGAGATCATGTTACCATTGGCCAGTGCAGGTTAGGCCTGAAATTCTACAATGCTTTACATCATTAGTAGGATGTACCTGGTTCTTCCGCTGGTGGGAAGAAGGCGTGTACGGCAATGTGAGTTTGGTGGCTTGGTGTGGGAGAGTTGGAAAGAGGGGTCTGTTTTGGAGGTGGTGGATCCGAGATTGGGAGGTGAGTCTGATGTCGGCAACAACCCCCCAAACAACAACAAAAGCAACTCAAAGAAAGGAGGTTCAGGAGGTGCGGGCGGGGAGAACGTATGCATACAACGTGAGAAATACAGTCAAGGATGAGAAGATTGGTGAGAAGCTCCCTGCTGCTGATAAGAAGAAGATGGAGGAGGTTTGCCCTTTCTCCATTGCTGCAGATGGAGAGAGAGAGAGACCATGTATGTATATCTTTGTTTTGTTTTTTTGGTTTTGCTTCGGCGAGGTGTTGAAAAACTCCAGCGGGCAGCGAAGGCATGGTTGCCGGCCGGCTGCCCGCTGGAAAGAAAGGAATATAGGCCTAAATCTTATGGCTCTGATACCATGTAAAATATATTGATAGAGATAAATTGTATGTATTATTGATTGATGTATAGATTTGTTATGTTTACAATGATTATATAGAAGAGAAGAAGGTAGTAGGTGAAGTAGGTGAAGGGGAGTAGGTGAAGTGGTAGGTGTGGTAGGTGGAGTAGGTGATGGTAGGTGATAAGTTTTAACATGAACTAATCTGCTCTCCCGTAATTTTCACAACCCCTGGTTTCTCTCAGAATTGTTCCTCCTGTAGCATCCTGGGTCTTAAACCTGCGCTTGTATAGATGCCTGGTACACTTTCGGATCCTTGAGGTGATGGATTGCATTTTTGTTGAGTTGGTTGGGATAGATTAATTCCCATTTAGCTTGTAACTCTTATAATATTTCTTTTTATTTTATTTTGAACATAGGGGTGAGAAGTGGAGACTTAGTAGCATTTTTGAGTGATTGAGGTTTGGCCGCACAAGCAGACAACTACGGGAACATTTCTGCTTCAGCTCTGCATGAGTGCCCATAATTCACCGCATGAGTGCCCCTAATTCACCGCATGAGCTGCGAGGCGGCTGCACAAGCGGCAGGGGCCACTGCACGAGCTGAAAAGTTGCGACATGGCAGCCTCTCAGACTAGCATTTTTAAAGCCACTCTCCCTTTTCTGCAGAGAGACATCCCCCCTCAACTTCATTTTACTTCATCTCACTCTCTTTATTTCTCTCATCTCTCTCTTCTCTCAACACCATTGTTACACACTTAAACCTTAGATTGAGTGTTTTAGAGTGAGAATCTCTCCAAAGTTATAACGTCAACATTGTAGAGCATGGCAAGTGCTTCAATTTGGTTCAGGCCAATCTTGATTTCGCTAACTTTCACATTTTCTTCCTTCTCCTCTTCTCTTCAAGAGGTAGGGTTTTCTTTCATTGGTCTAATATGAGTTTAGAGATGTATGTGTGGTATTTTGATAGAGAAAATTTGAAATTTTGGTAGAGATTTTGGAAATGCATGATAAGAGTTTAGGGTTTATGAGTTGGGTTGGGTTTTTCTCTGTATTTTTACTATCAAACTTATTTTCTTTATATAAACTTGCATGAGCATATTTAGAGATGAGAAAGCTCCAATTTTGTAAAAAACCCTAATTTGTAATAGGATGATGAAAACCTGTATTCATTATGTTATTGAATTGTTGAACTTTTGGAAATGAAAACCCGTCGTTGAACGGAGGTGCACGAAGCACATTTTATGAGGATTGAGCAAGTGCATGTGTTGCATTGATTTCATTAAAACACTCTGATTTCAATTGAGTAATGGTATGGTGAATACGGGTAACGTATGGAGAATGAGATAATTTGGCTTGATAGTCCATGGTGAAAGACCAAAAACCGGCACGATGTAGATGCCAAGCTCTTTCCGGCTAACAACCCGTAAATTTGGTAGTGATTAGGTGGTGTTTAGCGATGACACTAGCACAGTAGTATTCATGGTAGCCTACTAGTTGATTAGGTGGTGCTTAGCGATGACCATTGGTAGAGTAGTGCTCATGGTAGCCTACTGGTTGATTAGGTGGCACTTAGCGATGATCACTAGTAGATACATGTACCTTGGTAGGATTTACCGGAATAAAAGGATGATTTGGATTATGAAATAATATTTTGTCGAACTTGTGATAAATGGTGGTTTGAGGAAAATGAAAACTTGTATTGTTTTGAGAATGATTTGAGAAAGAATGAAAACCGATATTAATTTGAAAATGATTTGAGAAATCATCGAGAGCACCTTATATCTATATAGCATCATGATCATACCCATGTAGAAACATATTATCTTGTTAAAGATTACTCTACTAGACTATATGTTCATCCTATGTGGATGAAATCTTTTTCAGATATTGATGGCGTGTGCTACTGCAGACTGCAGTGAGTGGCCTTGGACTTGTGCAAGGGTTGGACAGAGCTCTCATGGAATGTTGGCCAAGGGCCTTTTTGATTCATATAATTGATGCAAGCCTGAGGACATATTGTTTATTGTTGGATATTTTATCCTATATGACATACTAAATATTGTTTCTTCATTCATTTTATTTGAGTTTATTTCTTGGTTTCGGATCTTGGAAATCCAGTGTGTGACACCTCCCCTATTTATCACAACTCCATTATTAAAGGATTTGTTGGTGTCTACTGTGAATTATATATTTTATATTATTCATTAAGGGTAGTTTGGTAGTTTAAGTTATTAGGGTGTTTTTATGTTTAGATTTTATATTTGTGCTTAGCTTTTTGGTTGATTATTCAATAATATACTAATTCGTCTTCTCTGTTAACATGGTATCAGAGCAGGTCCGGCAATCCTAGCTGTCGTTTACCTTCCGACGACTTGTTGGAGGCTTGCATTTGTAGTTCACAACTTGAGAATCTCATCGTGTTTGCAATTCACACTTTCGTCTTCGTAGCTCTCCATGTTCACAGTTCACAACCCTTCGATTTGAACCCTTCGAGAATCTTTGTTCAACACTCCTGGTTCTTCCCTTTGATTCTGGTTCGACACTCCTACACCTCCTGGTTGTTGTCTCTGTTTCAATCAGAGCCCTAGCCTTTCACACGAAGCAGTTGCCTCTCACACAGACCTGTAACTACGCAGATGCAGTCGTTCCTCTTCTTGACTTTGTTTTTCCCTCTAATTCTGGTTCGATACTTCTCTGATTCTTGACTTCGACTGTTTGGACTATGTTCTACTGTTGAGCTCTAAGAACCTTCATCGCTGGTCTGGTTCAGTCGGAGACCTAGGTTGCGTATCTCACACAGGTCGTTCATCTCTCTCTCTCTCTCTCTCTCTCTCCCTCTGCTGCTTTTCACTTTGCTTTGATTTCACTGCATTGTTTAATTATAACAATATGGTTGATGATAAACTGCAAGCTATCACCGCAAATTTGGATGGTACCAATTCCTCTTATTGGTCTCATGTAGTGAAAAATTTTATAATGGGTAAAGGCATGTATAACTATGTTATTGATATAACTGTTAGACCTACGGAATCCAAAGACACGAGGCCAATGTTGCAAAATAGGATAAGGAAAATGCACAAATTCTTACTTGGTTTCATAATTCAGTTCAAACCACTATTGGTATGAATTTTTCCAAGTATTCTACTTCTAAACAAGTTTGGGACTATTTGAAAACTTTGTATCTTGAGTCTAACTTTGCAAAACAGTATGAACTTGAGATGTCTATTCGCAGTGTTAGTCAGAAAGATAAGTTCATTCAGGAGTTCTACAATGAGATGACTATTTATTGGGATCAACTTGCTTTAATGGAACCATTAGATTTGCAGTTACTTGACAGTTACACTAAGTATCGGAAGAAGCAACGTTGTGTTTAGTTTCTTATGGCCCTTCGTGATCAATTTGAGCCACTTCAGTGAGCTATTCTACATTGATCCCCCTTGCCTTCTGTTGAACTTATTCCGGAAAAAACTCGGTTCAAGGTGGCTCATGGCGCTCCTACTTCCTAGTCAATTTTTGCCACTCCTCCGCTCTTGCCCACCCCACCATCTCCTTTATTTCAAGTTACTGGTAAGCCTAAGCCTCGGGTTTCCATGGATGAGTGCAGTTTCTGTCATCATAAAGGCCATTGAAAACATGCTTGTCCTAAACTTTTGCAACCCAAGGGTTGTTCGTCTGGTCCAGCGCCCTAGCCAATCCTAACCTTTCGTCCTCGGCCTCCATTATGACTATCACTCAATTCGATTTGTCTGGTTCATCCTCTTCAAGTAATATTCACACTTCGTGGATTTTTGATTCTGGTTGTTCACATCATATGACCACTGTTGCATCTCTTCTTAGTAATTGTGTCTCCCCTTCTTCTCCTATCACTATTGCTACCGCTAATGGTTCTTCTATGCCTGTACACTCTATTGCTTCTATTTCCTTTTCCCATTTGTCTCTTTCTCCTGTATTTTATGTACCTCACCTCTTACTTAGTCTTATTTCTATTAGTCAATTATCTGATTCCGGTTTTGACGTTGTTTTCTCTTTTGCTTATTGTGTTGGGTAGGATTGGGTATCCAAGAGGGCAAATTGGTATTGGGCATAGAGTTGGAGAACTATATATCTTGGACAACTTGCATATTCATTTAGTCGTGTCTTCTACTGCATTGTCTTCCTTTTGTTTAAATAATAAGTCTTTTTTATTTTATATTTGGCATTCTAGGTTAGGCCATCTGTCGAGTGACCGTTTAAGGATGCTAGTTCGTTCTGGACATTTAGGCAATTTTTCAATTGATGATATCGTGGTTGTAAACTGGCTAAAATGTCTACTCTTACATTTAATAAAAATAGTTCTATTTCATCTTCTTCTTTTCAATTGGTTCATACTGATGTTTGGGGTCCTTTCCCTATAATTACCAAAGGTGGTTCGTAATATTATGTGTCTTTTGTGGGTGATTACAGTCGATTTACCTGGGTTTATTTGATGACTCAAAAATCTGATTTTTACAAAATATATTCCAATTCACTCCAGGATTCACACTCAGTTTTCCACCGCCATTAAAGTTCTCCATTCTAATTTGGGGGGTTAGTATTATTTGTCTGAGTTTGAGGAGTTTTTAGCTACTAATGACACTATTCATTAGTCTTCATGTTCTAACACTCTTGCCCAAAATGGTCGAGCTGAGCGCAAACATCGACATCTCGTAGATATAGCTTGCTCTTTGTTGCTCTCATCTTTTGTCCCTTCTGTCTTTTGGGGAGAAGCTGTGTGCAGTGCTGCATATCTTCTCAATTGGATGCTTACTCCTCTTCTCTCAGGCTCATCTCCATATGAGCGTCTTCTTAGTGTTACTCTCAATTATTCTCTTCTTTGTGTTTTCGATTTTGCATGCTTTATGCTCCTTCCTAAACGGGAGCGCTCTAAGCTTAGTTCTTGTAGTGTCCTATGTGTTTTTTTAGGGTATGGCATTAATCAGAAGTGTTATGATCCTGCCACCAAAAAGCTATATGTGTTTAGGCATGTCACCTTTTTAGAAAAACTACCCTACTACACTATTCCTTCCACCCCTGTCCCTATTACCAAGGATGAATAAGTTCATATTGACCCATTTCCTTTTGATGTTTCTCCCGATGAGTTTATTTCTAATCTTGAGGTCTCTATCTTGCCTCTTACAAGCACGCTTGATATCTCGCCAACTACTCCCTCCCTGTTTCTCCAGCTCCCGCTTCCACTGCTCCTTTTCTTGTTTATCAGTGCTGTAAAGCACTTCCAAGCTCACCTGCCTCTACCTCCACTGTCCTTCCAGCTGTTTCTTTGGATCTTGCTCCTTCTGCACATCATTTTCCAAAGTGAGAGTGTTATCCTCCGAATTGGTTTGGTTTTGGTAATACATATTTTTCCCTTTCCTATAAATCTTTTCTTTCCTGTTTTCATACTTATTTTGAGCCCAGGTCTTACAAGGAAGCCTGTCATGATCCAAATTGGATTGCTGTCATGAATGACGAGTTAACTACTTTGGCTAACACTCAGACTTGGGATTTGGTTCCATTACCTACTGGCAAGAATGTTGTGGGCTGTAAATGGGTTTATAAGGTTAAAACCCTTGCTGATGGTTCTTTGGAACGGTACAAAGCTCGCTTGGTTGTCCAAGGCTTTTCTTAGGAGTATGGGATTGATTACGATGAGACTTTTGCCCCCGTTGCCAAGATGACTACTGTTCGCACTATTATTTTTGTTGCTGCTGCCCATCAATGGCCATTGTTTCAGTTAGATGTCAAAAATGCTTTTCTGAATGGGCACCTTGCTGAAGAAGTGTATATGCGCCCTCCACCGGGTCTCTCTCACCCTCCCGGTGTTGTTTGTTGTCTTCGCTGTGCTCTATATGGTCTCAAGCAGTCTCCTTGTGCTTGGTATAAGCGATTTCACTCTGTTGCACTTCAACTTGGCTTTTGCCCTAGTCATCATGATTGTGCTCTCTTTGTTCGGCGCACTTCTGTTGGGCTTGTTCTCTTTCTCTTATATGTGGATGATATGATCATCACTGGATCTGATTCTAGTACTATTGAGGAGGTTAAGCATCAGTTGTTTTAGGAGTTCGAGATGAAGGATTTGGGGTCTCTTCGTTATTTTCTTGGTATTGAGGTTGCTACTTCTCCCACTGGGTATCTTCTCTCTCAGACTAAATATGCCCGTGATATACTTTCTCGTGCCAATCTCACTGATGGCAAAATTGTCGACACTCCTATTGAGTTGCATGCTAAGTTTTCTGCTTCTGATGGCGTTCCTCTTAAGGATCCTATTTTGTATTAAGAGTTGGTTGGGTGCCTTGTTTATCTCACCGTTACTTGTCCGGACATCTCCTATGTTGTGCACATTCTCAGTCAGTTTGTTTTTGCTCCTCGTTCCACCCATTGGGCTGCCTTACTTCGTACTCTGCACTACCGTCGTAGTACTCTATTGCAATGTTTGCTGTTAGCTGCCTCTTCGGACTTGACTCTTCGTGCCTATGCTGATGCTGATTGGGCAGGCGACATCTCTGATCACAAATCCACTTCTGGTCTTTGTGTTTTTCTCGGAGCTTCTCTCATTTCTTAGAAGAGTGAGAAACAGTCTGTTGTTGCTCGTTCCACCGCTGAGGTTGAGTATCGTGCCATGACTTATGCTACTTCCAAGATAGTTTGGCTTCGGTGGCTTCCTTCTGATATGGGTGTCTCTCCTTCTAGTCCGACTTCGTTGTATTGTGACAATTAGAGTGCTGTCCAGATTGCCCATAATTCCATTTTCCATGAGCGGACAAAGCTTATTCAAATAGATTGTCACTTTGTCAGGCAGTACTTTTAGGCCGGCACTATTACTTTCCCTTTTGTTCCCTCCTCTCTTTAGTTGGCCGATTTTTTTTACGAAGACTCACACTGCTGATCGTTTTCATTTTCTTCTTGGCAAACTTTCGATACTTTCTACGCTCGCATCCTCAGTTTGAGAGAGGGGGGAGGGGGGTGTGAATTATGTATTTTATATTATTCATTAAGGGTAGTTTAGTAGTTTAAGTTATTAGGGTTTTATTCTGTTTAGATTATATATTTTTACTTAGCCTTTTGGTTGATTATTCAATAATATACAAATTCTTCTTTGTTAACATCTACATCCCCATACAACACCTTTTCAAGTGTTGCAAGTTGCAACAATTCGCAACCATCCACTTCCTCAATTACCTACTGTAATGATAATATTCCTACTCTTCTTGTTGCCTATCCATTTTCATAATTCAAGAAATGCACCACTACCATACAATATTTCTGAATCCAAACTATAGACTCCATTCCTATACTTCTTTAAATAAACCAACATCAAACAAATTGGCAGCCTCCCCAAACACTTGTACTACCCAAGAAATACCCTCAAATCTACTAAAATCAAATAGCTTCTAAATCTATTTCTTTTTGTGATTCTTATAATTTCTTCCCTTGATTCATCGTCAATCCGGGAAAAAAAAAATAAAAAAATAATCTTCAATCTTATATATATTCTTATAAGCTCTCGTTGTAACTATGCAGGAGATCTCCATAACACAATCTGGTGGTTGCACTGAACCAAGGAAGAAATGCAGAGATAACAGAATATGAAATGACAACTGAAAATTCAATAGATACTTTAGTAAAGATTTGAAAGTTGTTTATTATTTGTAACCTTGCTTTTGCTGATGTTATTTTATTTTTTCTTTGAGCACTTTTAGTTCTCATTTGTATCTTTTGCACTTTCTATCTTCTTCTTAATAAAATTTCTTTGTTGTAATTAAAAAAAAGTAATATTTGTAACGAAAAAATAGATACCTAATTGTTTACATCTCCCATTTCATAATTTAAATAACTTCAAAGTACTTCGAACAAAATTAATACTATATCTTACGAAAATATTTGCACACAAAAAATATCATAAGTGAACACCAACATCAAATAAATTCCTTATCTAGGTTTTTAACCTTTTTAAAGCAATAATCATGATTTACCAACATATAAATTACTCCAAATCAAAATACAATAACAGCATAACAAAAAAGATGCATAACAGCATAACAAAATAGATGGATAAAAGCATAATGAAGACATAATATGCTCATAACAAACACTTCAACCAAGGGTGACAAATCTGTATGAGCAAGGAACTCATTGCTATGAAAAAAATTAGTTCATACCTTTCCAGTAATCATGGTATACATATTGAGAACATCCATGACTGTTGACTCAAAGTGAGTTGTCGAATCATAACTCTGTTGAACACAGTGAGATAAATAAGCAAAATTACCAAATGAAAACGGGTTCAAGAATGGAATTTGACAAAACCCACCGCCGATATAAAACAATTGTCCAGTGAAGGCTCATTGACTGGTTCATATCTTTCATAAATATCGAAGAACAACTCATCCACAGGCCCTAGAAGATCAATTCCTGGCTTTAGTTCAATCTCAGGCTGATCAGTCTCTGCCTCTGTTGATACGAATGCAATGAATTTGCCCTTCGGGGCAACATTGTGAGAAAAAGAGCAACAAAAAAGATACCTGCACAATCTCAGAGCGACTAGATAAGACAACTATAAGTTGATATAAAACCTCAAATGTCGGTATTTGCTCATTTGCAATACCAAGCTAAAACAATTGACTTTATTAAGTAATGGATAGATATTGGAGAATCCCAAGAGGATAAACATTCCATTGTGTTTTAAATAGCGTTCATAAACACAATTACTATAGCGATCCCGGGTTTACCCTTGTTGTACAGTGATCCGGACATGTGTCCGTGAATGTTGGTAGTTGTTTCTTTCCTAGTTTGCATCCTCTTTACTTTGTATTTTGAGTTATGGGATGTGTTGGGCAGGTTTGTTACAGGTTGGTTGTGCTTGGGAGCCTAGTGTTGCTGCCCAGATTTTTGGTCCTTCGCTCGAGCGAGGAGTTTGTCGCTCGAGCGAGTTCGATACTTTCTACGCTCGCATCCTCAGTTTGAGAGAGGGGGGAGGGGGGTGTGAATTATGTATTTTATATTATTCATTAAGGGTAGTTTAGTAGTTTAAGTTATTAGGGTTTTATTCTGTTTAGATTATATATTTTTACTTAGCCTTTTGGTTGATTATTCAATAATATACAAATTCTTCTTTGTTAACATCTACATCCCCATACAACACCTTTTCAAGTGTTGCAAGTTGCAACAATTCGCAACCATCCACTTCCTCAATTACCTACTGTAATGATAATATTCCTACTCTTCTTGTTGCCTATCCATTTTCATAATTCAAGAAATGCACCGCTACCATACAATATTTCTGAATCCAAACTATAGACTCCATTCCTATACTTCTTTAAATAAACCAACATCAAACAAATTGGCAGCCTCCCCAAACACTTGTACTACCCAAGAAATACCCTCAAATCTACTAAAATCAAATAGCTTCTAAATCTATTTCTTTTTGTGATTCTTATAATTTCTTCCCTTGATTCATCGTCAATCCGGGAAAAAAAAAATAAAAAAATAATCTTCAATCTTATATATATTCTTATAAGCTCTCGTTGTAACTATGCAGGAGATCTCCATAACACAATCTGGTGGTTGCACTGAACCAAGGAAGAAATGCAGAGATAACAGAAGATGAAATGATAACTGAAAATTCAATAGATACTTTAGTAAAGATTTGAAAGTTGTTTATTATTTGTAACCTTGCTTTTGCTGATGTTATTTTATTTTTTCTTTGAGCACTTTTAGTTCTCATTTGTATCTTTTGCACTTCCTATCTTCTTCTTAATAAAATTTCTTTGTTGTAATTAAATAAAAGTAATATTTGTAACGAAAAAATAGATATCTAATTGTTTACATCTCCCATTTCATAAGTTAAATAACTTCCAAGTACTTTGAACAAAATTAATACTATATCTTACGAAAATTTTTGTACAAAAAATATCATAAAGTGAACACAAATTTCAAATAAATTCCTTATCTAGGTTTTTAACCTTTTTAAAGCAATAATCATGATTTACCAACATATAAATTACTCCAAATCAAAATACAATAACAGCATAACAAAATAGATGGATAACAGCATAGTGAAATAGATGGATAAAAGCATAATGAAGACATAATATGCTCATAACAAACACTTGAACCAAGGGGGACAAATCTGTATGAGCAAGGAACTCATTGCTATGAAAAAAATTAGTTCATACCTTTCCAGTAATCAAGGTATACATATTGAGAACATCCATGACTGTTGACTCAAAGTGAGTTGTCGAATCATAGCTCTGTTGAACACAGTGAGATAAATAAGCAAAATTACCAAATGAAAACAGGTTCAAGAATGGCATTTCACAAAACCCACCGCCGATATAAAACAATTGTCCAGCGAAGGCTCATTGACTGGTTCATATCTGTCATAAATATCGAAGAACAACTCATCCACATGCCCTAGAAGATCAATTCCTGGCTTTAGTTCAATCTCAGGCTGATCAGTCTCTGCCTCTGTTGATACGAATGCAATGAATTTGCCCTTTGGGGCAACACTGTGAGTAAAAGAGCAACAAAAAAGATACCTGCACAATCTCAGACCGACTAGATAAGACAACTATAAGTTGATATAAAACCTCAAATGTCGGTATTTGCTCATTTGCAATACCAAGCTAAAACAATTGACTTTATTAAGTAATGGATAGATATTGGAGAATTCCAAGAGGATAAACATTCCATGTACAACCTTCCTTTCCCATCCATGTGACACCAGTAAGGTCTTCAGCTTTCAAGAAGAATAAATCGTACGGTCAACATCTCTTTAGGAATTAGTACCAACATCTCCACCATTACACAGACAAACTGATAACCATTAAAATGCTACAGCTGAATAGGCACTGTAATTTATAGAAAATCACTTTAACAAATAGAAATGGACGAAGACGCTCTTTAATGCCATAAAAAGAGATAATGAACACATTCAAACAGACTACATCACCTGCTTTAATTTCCACAGAAGACCCAAAAACTACACTAATTTGATACAATCAGAGAACAGAAGCTTATTAAAAAAAAAATTGTCTGCCAGTTAATCAATTGATTATACCAACCACAAGCATATTCTTCCTCACCCAGCCACGGTGATCATAAAACTCAAAGGTCATTTTTTCTTAATATTTGGCATGTACGCTGTTCCTTCTCTAATTTCAATATTAAGTCTGCTTCCCTAATTAGAAGTAAAAAATATATTTATATATATAGTAAAACCCGGTTATTGCTCTTGCTAAATCACAGGACTTCTCATCTCAATGTCCCCCAAGAAAGTTCAGATTATACCCTACCAAGAATAAACCACCGTTTATATCTTAAATAAGCAACATAAGCCATACATGTACTCGCATAGTTAAGAAATCTAAAATTGAAATTTTGAATTTCATCTCTTTCTCAAAGATGCAGGAGAACTCACATATCTGATTTGCGACCCAACTGCTTCTGTGGCAGAATAACCTGCACTGAGTGAGAATTGTTGGTGTTTGGGATTGGGTGGGCCATAATAGCAATTGCCCTTGCAACCCTGCCAACTCTTCTAACCTGTCACACACCATACTTCACAAATTCAAACTAGTTTCTATCAAAATGACAAAAAATATTAGCTCAGATAGGACTTCTCATCTCAATGTCCCCCAAGAAAGCTCAGATTATACCCTACCAAGAATAAACCACCATTTATATCTTAAATAAGCAACATAAGCCATACATGTACTCGAATAGTTAAGAAATCTAAAACTGAAATTTTGAATTTCATCTCTTTCTCAAAGATGCAGGAGAACTCACATATCTGATTTGCGACCCAACTGCTTCTGTGGCAGAATAACCTGCACTGAGTGAGAATTGTTGGTGTTTGGGATTGGGTGGCCCATAATAACAATTGCCCTTGCAACCCTGCCAACTCTTCTAACCTGTCACACACCATACTTCACAAATTCAAACTAGTTTCTATCAAAATGACACAAAAAATATTAGCTCAGATAATGTTCACAGCATTTAGTTGCTTTTTTCAATCTAAACCCTCTTATGACTGCAAATTAGTGTCATTTTAGACTAAAGAGGTATTTTTGTACTCAAGTTCATATAAATACAAAAGGATGAGGCTGAGAACTCTAATTCACTCTATTCCCATTATTCTATACTACCTCTGTCTCTTTTCTCCGCTTCTTCTTCTCCTCATGGTAAACTAAATATATGATGGCTTACAAATGTATTATGCACATCACATATATTTATACTTAAAAACGAAAAATAGAACTTATAATTTATAAATAGAATAAACAGCTGTAGTTAGCATGCTATTGCATGAGCCCAAGCAACCTATAGGCTTCACCCAGAATAATTTCAACCAGCAGCAGGAAGGCTGGAATAAACTCATCAGGCTATAATTAGAGTTACCTTGTTGGGTAAGTAAGAAGGATCGCATACAACTTTCTTGCACCTAGCAGTTTCCCCTTCTGACGTGACGCCAATTACCTTGCCTTCTTCATTGAACTCTACCTGGCATTTAAGCAAGATCAAATTGTATGCTAACCTTCAAGTAAATAAGTTTATTGCAGAAAATAAGGAAAATGACCTTCAACACCGAGAAACATGACCAAAAAAAGTACCTTGCACTCGGGTTTATTCAACATGTATGTACCCCCATATACAGCACTGAGCCGAGCAAATGCCTGAATGAACAAATCACCATACAAAAGTAAACGGTCAACATTAAAAACAAAAACCAAGTAAATGAACAAAGTTAGTACAAAAAGAAAATACAAAATATTAAAAAGAGAAGATACAGAGAGAGAATAATAAGACAAAAGAACCTGAGGGAGCTCTCCAAGTCCGTACAATGGGTAAATGTATGGTGATCCTCCTTGAAAACGTGCAAAAGACTCAGAATAAAGCTGTCACACCATTGCAAGAAAATATTTTAACCAAGACTCAAAACTTGGACCTTGTAGTCTAACCATTGAACCAACCGAAAGAGTGTAAAAGCATATATCCCATGCATTTTTCACCTTCATTCTTTTCACAGTATCCAATGCAGGCTCATTTAAGTAGTGGTCGTCTCTGTGAAGTGCCACTGCATGACCAATAAAGTCGAGAGTGTTATCATCCAGACCATATTTCCTGTCAGAAAGATAACTGCACTGTAAGCAGAAGGAATCGTTTGTTGATAAAACGGGGTAAAGTGAATTGAGAAGTATGCCAAAAGGGCGTAACTATTTCCCATCAGAAAAAAAAGAGTTAATTGCACTGTAAGCAGAATGAACTTTTTGTTGACAAAATCGGTAAAGTTTCAGGTCATGTTCAATTTTTCATGCCCAATTCACTACAACACCCATAAGAAAATGCCAACCAGAAAGTACCTTCCAAAAAATCCAAAAATGAAAATTGCATATTGCAGAGATAATAATTGAGAACACCTTTCAGATTGAAATTCCTGAATAGATATACGGGACAAACACTAAAAGCAAAGATTAAGAGCATACGCAATAAGCTCTCTCGTTGTCACTCTTGTCAAATCCATCCCATCATGCGTTTTGGGATCATTTTCATCATAATCTTGGACATAACTCAAGAACTTGCCAGCACGGCGCTTTTCAAAAATGCCCATAAGAGGAGATTTGATGGCCTCCATGTCAGTAGCCGGAACCTTGTGAACCTATTGTATAAAGCTTATTACAAGTTAAGGTGCATTAATAATATTAAGCATGGGGGCTAAACTGCTGAAACTTCTTGCAGAGAGAAAAAAAAAAAAAAAAACACTGTTGTCATACCTTTCCTTTATTATAGACATAGCTGCCATCTACGGCTTTGAAGCACAAATATTTGGTAACATCTGTGTGAATAAGTACTCGTACAAGAGTACCATTTGCCATCATAAACTGAGAAAAATATCACTCAGAATATCTCAAAAGTTGAGAAATATAAGAAAATACAATGGTTAATAGAGTAGAGAGAACATAAACCTTTGGGATCATATCCACATTATAATCCCTAATCGATCCCAAATGACCTGGAGGCTTATCACTTCCTCTAAACCTCTTCCACAGCTGTAAATTAATAATTTGGTCAAGACAATTAGCTGGTTATAGCAAGTTGCAATTGGTATTGAATATCTTGCAAAAGACTATGACAACATAAACCTGAACAAGATTTAGTGAAGTTGACTCTCCTCCATAATAGTCGTTCCTGTCCATGTGGAGAACCTGGTGCATGAAATGTGAAGTATTAATGATCAAACAACAATAGGGTAAATAAAATGATTAACCCAGTTACGGCAACCTAGGAGGGGGTGAATTGGGTTGAAAATAAATAATAGATGCAAAAAAATATGTAAGATATACCTAGTGAACAATGATTCAACAAAGTGTGTAGATAAATGATTCAAGGATGAAAATACAACACAACAAAGAATTGAAGCAAAGATATGAAGAGAGTGAATAGAAGAGACTCAAACACCAAGATTATAGTGGTTTGGCTATCCTAGCTAGCCTACATCCACCAAACTGGTTGTACGATAGGGGTACGAGAGAGGATAATGGTTGTGCAGTGGGGAGAAGAGCGTTGGTGGGGAAAGAGGCAGAGGTTGTGCAGTGGGGGAAGAGAGACAAGTGAGAAATGGACGAGAGCAGAGAATGGAGAGAAGAAGAACAGAGAGTGAGGGTAATTAGGTAATTAAATTTACTGTTATAAAACAATTGTTTTAAGAGTTGAGGCGATTTGGTAATTTTAAATTTTCTATTACGTCCATTTCTAGACAAACTCTAATGGAGAGGCAAGTCTAGTTTAATCACACTAGTGGGGCTTATTGTAATAAACACAAACCTCAAGAGATTAATGTAATTTATTCTAAAAAAATATAGGAGATAAAAATAACAAGGTTTTGATCACATTTATTCAACTCCTCTCCACATGTACAAAGCCCACTATACTTGTTCTTAGAGATAAAATGAAAAATAATTTTAAAAAAATGGATTAAGGAATTAAGGAATGATATTTTACAGCATAAATGGAAGTATGAGATGGTAACATCTTAAGGCACAAAAAAGGGCAACAACAAAGATTTGTGTTCCAGTAGGGTCGGCTACATAAATCATTTTTCGCCATTTTGCTCTATCAAGAACTATATGCTCAGTTAAATTTAATAGATTCATATCTTTTGTTTCTAACACATCCCATGTCAGTTTAGATCTTTCCCTTCCCTTAACATCATCATTCATCGTGATCATATGACTCTTCCTTACTATTATATCCATCGGCCTTCGTTTTACATGACCAAACCATCTTGATTTATTCTCTTTCAATTGGTGCTACTACTACCATTTCACAAATATATTCATTTGTAATTCTATATTTTCAAATCCTACCACACATCCATTTAAACATTCTCATCTCAATTACACTTGCTTTATAAATGTATGGTATATAAAGCATCATTAGCTTTATAGCTATTCTATAAATATTTCTTTTCAATTTCGTTGATATTCATTGATCACATAATATGTCAAATGCACTCCACTTAAGCCAACCTATTTTAATTCTACGATTCATATCATCTTCAACCTCACAATCCTTATTAATAATTGAACATCGATAATGAAAATGTTCAATATTTTTTTTCTTTTAGTTTTCAATATTTACTTCTCCATTATTTCTACTTCTGTTGTCACTAAAATTACATTCCATATATTCACTTGTACTTCTACTAATTTTAGTTTAGACCCTTTTGACTCGAGTGTTTCTCTCCATATTTTAATTTTAGTGTTACTTCCTCAGTTTTATCCACTAAAACAAATATCATATGCAAACAACATACACCGTATGACATTATCCTGGATGTGTTTAGTTAATTTATCCATTATTAAGACAAATAGGTAAGGACTCAAAGCTGAATCTTAACACAACCCCCATTGGATGCATTTTATATACATTTGTTTTAGAAAATTCTTATTTTTTTTAAATATTCTTATTTTATCCCCCCACCCCTCCCTTTTTTTTTTGTTTTATAAAAAAAATAAGTCAAATTATGCACTAAGGACTCCATGAACAAGTATCAACACACTTTTGCTAGAAAACTATAATACCCTATCAATTTAGGTTTTGGAGCAAACATTTGAAAACATGGCATATTTTCATTCCAAAACAATCAATTTAGTGATCCAAATCAATTGAGAAATTATTCCTATTTATTTTCTTAGCATTTTTATTAAGAAAAAACCAAATTTAATGAATTAAATTTAGAGAGATTAGAGTTTCAATGAGAAAAGTTGTAAGAATAAGGGATTTATAATGATCCTAGAAGTGTGTTTTTATGTGGCTAATTAGAAAGAATAATTGACCATGTTCTATTAGATGTCTACCTGTTAATATAAAATTGCTCCAACATTGAGAAATATCTAAAATTTAAAAAAATAAATAGATTCTAACGTGTTATCTACTAAGCACACACATAGTCGCACAATACGAAATGGACACACCGACACGACATGTGGAGAACAAGCATAACATATATAGTTTTATATATTTATTATATGACAAGTATAAAGATAACCAAAAAAAAAAATAAAATATGCAACATATCACTAATTTCTATAAATCTATATTGTTTTTCTTTTATCATTGTATCCTAAGTTATTTTGTTTAAACTTGTAATGAGTTTTCATGTATCTAAGCAATGGACACATGTGCCCCCAAGCGTCTGAAGCTTGTTTAGGTCTAAAAATAAATAAAACATAATAGAAAACATTTAGATGAGAGTTAAGAAGTGTCTGATAAGTGTCAGTGTCCAACATGGACATGCCACCTTAAAAGTGTCTATGCCTCTTAAATCTATATAAACCAACCCCTATTGAACCACATTTTAGAGAATGTGGCATACCACATTCCTATTTCTCAGACCGAAACCATTAGTGTTCAACGTAACATGGTACCAATGTTTATTGAACAATTTGCACACATTTTAAAAAATAAAGTCAACATATTTTGTTAAAGATCTTTGTAATTTGGGTAAGTTACAAATACGCTCTCTGAGATTTGATTAAAATACGAATCAATCCCTGTGATTTCTAATTCGTAACAAATCGCCTATTTTATTAATAAATCATTAAGTCAATTAACAGTTTTTAATAATGTTAGAAATATGTTTCAATTAATAATTTAGGTAATTTTATTATTGTATAGAAGAGCAATTATGAATTTCATTTTTTTAGTTAATTCTGTTAAATAAAAAATACTAACAATGACGCATTTATAATTTTCCAAATCACAGGGGACAATCTGTAGTTTAAGCAAACCTCAGGAGATGTATTTGTAATTTACCCTTGTAATTTTCAACCTTAGTATGTATGACAACCAGGATGAATATTTTTTTATTATAATTAAACAACATGAATACTTGTTTATAATTATTAAACAACATGAATACTTTCTTACTAGTTTGAAAACAGAGGGCTTTAACTGAGTTGTTAACATAACAGACAGCCTTGGGCTATACAGACAAGAAAATCACCCAAAAAAAAAACAACACAAACAACAAAACGACATACCTAACCATCCTTATATAAATAATATGCATCTAACAGAATGAAAAGTAGGTCCTAAATTACGTAAAATAAGTGAATCAACTCAATCTCCAAATTAACCACTAACCCGTTCCCAAACCAAACAGTTTGTGCTCATTTACTCTCACGCAATATTGACAGCACCTAATCACCTTGTTTAATTCATGGTTTCTCAATTCCTAAATGATTAGCCAGGCATTTAAATCAGTTCTACATGAACAGGTGCAAACCATCCTTTGTAATCCTCTTTGAGCACCGTGTGCATCCACGTGAACCCTAGGATTCAAGGCAAGACCCGATATTTGGTTCACACATGAAGGGGAGATTGTTGGAGCATGTGTGTAGGTAGAGTCCCATATCGGATTAAGAGTAAAAGATATAGGTCTTAATATAAATTAAATGAACTCTCAACTTATAGGCTTAAGCTTTTAAGTAGGTATGAGTTCTAAATAATGTATGTTGGGCCCTGATGTCAAGCACGTGGGCTCTGAAGTTTCCCCCTAACAACTGGTATCAGAGCCAATGGTTAGCGATCTATGGGTGAGCTCTCCTGGAGCATTGATGTTGTTGGCCTTAGGTTTGCACGGTGACTCTCAATGGAGCAAGAAAAATCCATGAGGACTCATGATAGAGCAAAGAAAATTCCTGGTGCACGTGGCAAGGTTGGATGGCGAAAAGGTGGCTCTCAATAGAGTATGGTGGCTCACAATGAAGTGTGTACGGGTGGCCCAAGTTAGACTCGATGTTGGAGAGTTATAGATCAAGATTAAAGCGGAGTGCATATGATCCACAATAAACCTGCTGTTGATAGATTAAACTCAAGGGGGAGCAAGGCGAGACCCAATAATTGGTTCATACATAAAGGGGAGATTGTTGAAGCACGTGTGAAGGTGGAGGGTCCCACATCGGATTAAAGAGTAAAAGAGATAGGTATTAATATACATTAGATAAACTCCTCAAGGGGGAGCAAGGCGAGACCTGATATTTGGTTCACACATAAAGGAGAGATTGTTGGAGCATGTGTGAAGGTAGAGAGTCCCACATCGGATTAAGAGTAAAAAGATAGGTCTTAATATACATTAGATGAATTCTCCACTTATAGACTTAAATTTTCAAGTGGGTATGACTTCCAAATAATATATGTTGGGCCCGATGTTAAGCAAGTGGACTTTGAAGTTTCTCCTCGATGGATTGGGCCTATGCACTTGTGGACTCCCCGATTCCCTAACAACAGGGATTACCAAGTTCTGCAAAATGGCATCATCAACATTTGGACAAGGTTCATAGGTGAATGGGGGAACACACATGCCTTAATCTCTATGAAGAAAGAAAAGATTGGGGTAATTTTATTTACACAACGATTCTACCTCATTACACCATTTTTCTAATTACGCCTCCCTCAAAAATTCAAAAATCTTATTTCATCTCTTTACACACACTTTTATTCTACGTATGCCCTCATCCCTAACCTCCTCTTTTCCCCTTATATCTGAAATCTTTCAAACCCTAACTCCTCCATCTTTCAAACCCTACCTCCTCCATCTTCAACTATTATAGTTGCCGTTACCACCTCTCAACCTCACTGCCATGGCCACCTCCGTAGCGTCCCTGTGACCACCACTTCTGCTGATTCTTTCCAACATTCACATTTTTCTCCACAAATCAGAGTTGAACAAATTTTGTTTGCTCAGTGGGACATGGCCAAACAAACAATGGCTGCACAAATCAAGTTTGTTCCATTGTGTCCCACCAAACGAACCAAAATTGATAAATTAACCATGTTCGGCTATAGAAGTTAGAACAAACTTAAGACCAAAGACTGAACAATCTCAATTTGTTCAGTGAACCATAGTCGAAAAGAGTTTTGAACCTTCTTTTTTTAAATAATGCAAAACTACAACAAAATGATTGACAATCATACCAAAACATCTTTTAAACACACACACACAAAAAAAAACTTATATACTATTCATTTAAAATGATTATATATGCATTAGCTAATCTCATCATTTTTTAATCTTTCCAATGTGCTAGGTACTGCAGTAGTTATTTCAACAAGATTCTTCTAGGCTAGCTACATTTGGAAAGTCCTGGGAAGCACTTTTAAACTAATTTGTGTGGATAAATATGTGAAACAAAGAATAGTGTTGAAGCACATAGATGAAAAGTTAGGTAAAATAAAGAGTATACATTTTTCATCATTTAGCTAGTGAAAAATAAATAGTAACAATGGAGTTGCTCTAAATAACCATCTTTCTTGAGGTTTAATAAAATTATAGAAATCTCCCTTGAGATTTCTGAAATAATAAAAAATTGTGTTTAGTTTAATGTAGTTTTAAATTGTATTGGTTCAATTTTTTTTCACAAATTTTAAAATTAAGATAAATCACAAATAAATCCCATAAGATTTATTAAAAATATAAATTTTTCCTTTGACGTTTGAGAAATTACATCTCATCTAAGGTTCCAAATCACAAAATAAATGACATTAGTAACAAAAAAAATTTTTCCCAGAAATAATTATATTAACACTTATGAAATTAAATACTTTATTTATTTACTTATTTTTTTCCTATCATCACTTTCTTTATTCTCTATTTTCTTTTTAATTAGTAACACCAGTTTGCCTAATTATCACACCATTCTCAATTAATACAACCATCATTATTGTCTACAAGCATTTGATGTGACACCAAAGAAGGTTGAGGAATATTATGGTGGTGTAGAATCAGTGATTTGATTTGGTGAATGAAAATGAGGATAATATGATAATTTTATTTTGATATTAAACGTATTTAGGTAAATAATAAATTATAATACTCATATACCTAGATCAATATTTCAAACCAGCATGACTTCCAATTAAAATTTAAAAATAAAAAATATCCAAACAAAAACAAATACAACATAATTGACTTGAAGTTTTCAAAAAACTACACCAACACCTTTGAAATGGATTAATTATGTCATATTCAAGTTATGTGAATTTTAATTAACTCGATTTGCTTATTTTTATAGGGAGGATTACAATACAATGAGACATTGATCTATTGATGAGTTGTTACTATGTTCTCTCAACTTTTTGTTGTAAAATTGTTTTTGATTTTGATAAATTTTTGTGTCGTAAGTGAACAATATGGATTGTGTATATGTAATAGATAACAGAGAAGCCAAAAAGGTGATACGAAAGAGGCAAGTAACTGTGAAGAAATAGAAGAACAGTGGTTGTGAATGATCTAATTTCATTTGATAGAACCAGAGTAAAATTTTACTCTGGTTCTATTGCTCTGTTTTTTTCATTTGACAGAACCAGAGTAAAATTTTACTTTTATACAGAGTAAAATTTTACTTTTAGCGTCAGAGTCTCACAGTTTACTTGTTTTTCAGAGTAAAATTTTACTTTTATACAGAGTAAAATTTTACTTTAGTTTCAGAGTGTAACATTTTACTGTTATTCAGGATAAAATTTTACTTTTATACAGAGTAAAATTTTACTTTTAGTTTTAGAGTGTAAAATTTTACTCTTATGCAGAGTAAAATTTTACTTAGTTTCAGAGTGTAACATTTTACTTTTATTCAGAGTAAAATTTTACTTTTATACAGAGTAAAATTTTACTTTTATACAGAGTAAAATTTTACTTTAGTTTCAGAGTGTAACATTTTACTTTTATTCAGAGTAAAATTTTAAAATTTTACTCTGAAATACACAGTGAAGATGGCTTAATAGGAGAGCTGATAGATATGAGGGTATTATAGTAAAATAAACAAGTTTTAAAATATTAAGGGGTTTTAAAAGTACTTATATAATTCTTGTCCTTTTGAAAGACAAATTAGATAAAATTTACCAAAAAGAATATTGTTATTAAAAAAAAAATTGTTTAAAAGCATGACATTACATAACTGAAGCCTGATGTTTCTTTTACATCTTCTCATTTTTCTCACTTAAAAATCAATTTTGATCTTGCTGCATCACAACAATACTTGAGCTGCAGATTTCACACCAGCAGCAGATAACACACTAACTTCAATCCAGCCATATGCAAACAAACATGGGATTCATAAATTATATTTTGATCCTACAAGGAATTTCTTCCCAAATAGAGGCACTACTTTAAATTCAGCAACAACAGAAAACAACATAAAAATCATTTAACACATTAAAGACTTTTTGAGTGTTAACCCATCATCAGATCCGTAGGATCGGAAAGGAATAGTCACGGATTAGTCAGTGAGACCCATTTCCGATCGCAAAAAAATGACAGCATCTAAATCAGTTCCCAAAGCAATTAGAATACAAATAAAAATAAAATGATAAATTATAAATACAATTCTATTTCAATTAAAATACGAATCACCTATGTGATTTAGAAAATTAAATTTTACTTTTTTAAAATTTTTAATTTCACGACAAATCAACAATTTTATTAATAAATTAATAATTTAATTTATTAATAATATTAATTCAATCTGTTTAAGTAAATTTTAAATGTATATTTATAATTTATCTAAAATAAAAATAGAGAGAGAGAGAGAGAGAGAGAGAGACCTTAAGGCCATCGACAGAAAGAAGACCGCTGAGGATGCATTCTTTGAGACCAGTCCCAAGCACTATCACGTCATACTCTTCATCCATTGCTGGATCTTCTTGCGACCCAGAGAGAGAGACTCACAGATTATATTAACAATAAGTGTGATACACAAGAAACACAGAGATACAGACCAACTGATTAGAATTCGAGAAACCAATATGCTTTTATGGTTTTACTGGATGGATATATATATATATAGATATAGCAGGAAAAAATTGTATCTTTTTGCTCAGATTCTTTGTTTATTAATTGGGCAAAGATGACAAAACATCAGGAACATCACTCTATTTTCATGTTTGGCTCTTTTTTTGGGGAGAAATATAGTAAGAAAGATGCCCAGGTAAGGCTATGTCTTATCATATTTGTGGGATGGATTCAATTTTACGGGGTCATAATTAAATTGGTGCTCTGAATTTGTGTGATTTGAATGATTCAAATATATTAAAATGACGTCGTTTTATATTTAAAATGATGTTATTTTGAGTGATTCGAGTCATAATTTATCGGGTCACCCAACATTATTGTAAAAAAAAAAAAGGGTTGTAATTAAATTTTATGAAAGTTATAACTAAATATAAGGTATAGTTAAATAATTTTTTTAATCATAATTAAAATAATGATATGATTAATATTATAAGCAATCATAACTAATAATTTAATAAGTCATAACTAAAATTATAAAAATTATAACTAAAGATACGTCTAATACACACCTCTATTATATAATTTCTTAGATAAGAAATTGTCTCTCTATTTTATTTCTTCAAAAAAAAATTATGAGATTTGATGAGAACAAAATTAATTCGTCATAAAATAGTTATAATACTAATTTTGTCGCTCCAAATTCAAATAAATCTCAATCATATATCTCTTTCATATGATTTGCATTTTTATTTATCTAAATATTTTTGATAATGAAAAAACACAATTATTTCTATTTTTTTTTTTTTCTTTTTTCTCTTTCACCCTATAATCCTAACTCACAACAGTTTTTCATATTTTATTTATTAAAAATGCTAGAATTCTTAAAAATTCTACCAAAAGTTTTATCAAATATCTTACATGGGTGTGGGACTCACATGGGACCCACATTGTGTGAGTCCCACACCCATATAAGATATTTGATAAAACTTTTAATAAAATATTTGGAATCTCTAGCATTACTCTTTATTTATTTATTTTTGTAGACTCTGGCAAAGCTACATGCCAATCGTGTCGTCGGGTTGACGGTGTATGTGGTGGACGTTGCTTTTTGGCTCCCTGTAGCGTACAAAGTATAATATATATATATATATATATATGAAATAATATGACAATTTTTAAAAATATTAAGGTACATATATATATATGAAATAATATGACAATTTTTAAAAATGATTAAGGTACAATTATTGATAAATAAATTAGATAAAATTTTAGTTCAAAGAGTGAATGTTTTTAGCAAGTTTGATTAGAATGGAATAATTGAATAGTGATATTACACATTAATGTTCATATAGTACCATTATTAAACTTTGATTTGGTTTGATTTTTTAAAAATTATTTTCCGACGTATGCAAGACACAAGCTATTATTGCAATAAATTTAAAATTTTCAAATATAAATCTTCTAAAAAATTATTCAGTTTAGTTTAATTTTAAAAAAATTATTTTTAGATGAATTTTTAGTTATTTTAGTAATTTTTTTCAAATTATTATTATTATTATTATTATTATTATTATTGTTATTATTATTATTATTATTATTATTATTATTATTACATTTTTTCTGTTTATTTTGTTAATTAAAAATTCTAACAAAAAATAGTTATAATTTCTAGTATTGTAGGAGCTTTTATATTTTAAACAAATCTCAGGAGTGTATTTGTAATTTATATAAAACCAAAATATGTATGTTTCATAATTGACTAATAATCTTTGCATAATTATGAAAAACTCTTCTTCCAAATTGATACCACCAATATTGATAAATAATACAAAAGAAAGGGGTAAAATGGGAAAGCTAAAAATACAAGTCTCCAATAATAAATAATGAGTGCTGCTATTAGCACCTACCAAAATTTTTTAGACCCCCTATTTCTTTGGACCCCAACCCTAAACCCTAGATTTTAATAATATTTTTTTGGACACCCCACTTATTACCAAATCTATCCATATTCATAATATTTTCACAATCAAATGCACACCCACCTAATTTTTCATACCTCTCATTCCCTGACCGTCGGTCTACTGTGTTCATCTTCTCCACACCGATTGAATCCATTTTGCTGCTGAAGTGCTTTGGGACATTACTTTTTTTTTTCTTTTTTCTTTTTTCTTACAAGTGCTTCAACACTTTCGTGCTCCTGCAATTTTTCGAAAATTCAACACTTTCGGAAATTCAACAGAAAGGTACGATTTATTACTGTAGACTTTTTCATCTACCATCAAAGGTATAATTTATTTATCTTTTCTCTTCAATTAATCATAACCATACAAACAAAAAACCCTTTACCAACCAAAACTACAACCACACAAAACCCTAATTGTGGGAAAATATTATAATGTAATGGATGACCTGATTCTACATAAAATTCAAATTTTTTTTGGGAATAGAGGTCTGAATATTATAATCTAATGGATGGCTTGAATATTATAATGTAATAGAAGTGTACATACCAACTAGAAATAAAATTAAAAAAAATATATTAGAACCCTTTGTCTTTTAGAAAATATGTTTGGCTGGTCCTTTGTCATGGAGTGTTGGGTATTTTGGTTGTGCTTTCTTTGTGCATAAAGAAAACAAAATTTGTTTGGCTGATCCTTTGTCTTGGAGTGTTGGGACCAGTTGCTTTTTTAAGTGTGAGATTTTTATGTCTGTACTGTACATATAGTATAAAATTGTTCCTTTTCTGTTGTTGTATGCCATTGCCATTGCCATTGGTTTTGCCTTTGTTTTGAAGTACTTTCATTTCATAATTTTTCTTTTTTTTTAAATTTTTTTTTGTTTTGTTTTGTTTTTTGTTTTTTTGTTTTTCTTTCTGTGTTACTTTTATTACTTGTACATTAACTAGTAGTGAGGTTAGGTTAGTTTTTGTTATATATTGTTTGTTGTAAATGACAAATTAGAAAATGTCAACAAAGAAAAGGGCACTTGACTCTGTAATATTGTATCCTATTTGAGCCAAAAAAGTTATGTTATTTTTTATGTAATATTGTACCCTATATATTCCAAGTTTATATTTGTTTGGTGGGTAAGAAGTAAGAAAATGAAAATTTAGACTTCTGTTTCATCTGAATTTTAATTCAAGGCAGCAACCAGCCAGATTATTTAATTCACATTTTTAGCTTCTTTTCCATGTATTTTCATACATCAACTTATAGCCACATAATCACACAACACTTGTACTAGTTGTCTTCCACATAAACTAACTCTAATTAGGACAATACACATCAAAAACCTAACAAGAGGTAGGTGGGTTGTTTGAAAACAGTGTTAATTTTAGCACATTATATCAACTTGGAGATGCATGTGATTATATTGCAACTGTAGGCTTTGGGCTAATGTTGCAACTTATTGCAACTTATTAGTACCTAAAGAAAATTCACAGCTTTTGCTACCTCTTGTGAAAATACACAGCATGTAATACTTAACAAGAGGTAGGATAATTCAACAGCTTATCCTACCTCTTGAATTATATTATATCCTACCTCTTGAATTCAACAGCTTATCCTACCTCTTGTGAAAATAACCTCTTGTGTATTTTCATAAGAGGTAGGATAATTCAAGAGGCATGATATTTTCACAAGAGATACGATAATTCAATAGCTTTTCGGAAAATTCACTTTTCTTTAAGTACTTAACAAGAGGTAGGATTTTTTGTTTTTGATGGCCTTGCTCTTGGCATGCTTCTAATACATTACAATTCTCAAATTTTGGTCCAACTCAAATATCTTATTTTTAGTAGTTTCTTTTTATCGTTTATTCATTTTGTGTTTAGTAAGAAACTATCTTAGTTTGTTGTTTCTTATTTGAATTGGTCATGACACACCTATTTAAGATAGGCTTTAATGACACATCTAATTGTACTTGGTGGACAGCTATGGTGGAAATTGCTCGAGATCGCCCAATAGCGTCTAGGAGACGTAGTGTTGTACTTTCTCAAAAAGTGGCTAAGAGACCTCAATGCACTCGTAAGACTAAGGACCAAGGTAGTGGAGTTAATGAACATGACATGAATGACATAGGTGCTGCTCCAGCAAAAACGGTTGGGGTTGAAAATGATGGGGGCAATCAATTGAATGTGAGTGACATGGGTGATGATTTGGGTGATGAACCAATACACATAGGTGATGATCTGGGTGATGAACCAGCAGATATGGGTGACTATGAAGACCAACCAACAGATACAACTGAAAAAGTTAATGAAGATCTTACTGGACCTTTTTCTGGAGGGCCATATGATCCTTCAATTTTGAAGAGTTTTCATTGTCACGTAGCAGCCAAAATTTGGCATAAAGATGTAAGTCATTGTCTTACATTAATTTAATGTTTTAAATTTTGCTTCAACTTTACTAATTCTTTTTTTTTTTTCCTTTTTTGAATTCTATGTTGCAGGAACGTGGAATACTTAAATGCTTAAATCATGGTTTTAAAGTTGGAGAATGGTCATTCAACTTGGAAGATAATGAACAGTCCAAATTTCATGGTTTAATTATGGATTCGGGGTTGATGTCTTTAGTGAGTTGCTCCTATAAATTTGTAAACAAAGTTGTAGTTTCGGCCTTTGTGGAAAGATGGCAGCCAGAGACAAACACGTTTCATCTACCATTTGGTGAGATGTCACCAACCTTAGATGATGTTAGTGTAATTCTAGGGATTCTAGTGATTGGTAAATCAGTCTCTTGCAAGAAGTTATCAAATGTTGACGCTGCAAATCTACTAGTTGAGGCTTTGGGAGTAACAATAGATGAGGCCAATGTAGCGTTGAAGGTAGCACGGGCTAGTCTATCAAGGTAGAATGGTTGAGACAACGGTTTGAGTGTGCAGCTAGGGCATATTTGTTATATTTGTTAGGTTGTACCTTATTTGCAGACAAGACAGGCACACGTGTTCCGGTAGTGTATTTGTCTTTTCTTATGGATTTGCGATCGGTTGCTTCTTATGTTTGGGGTGCAGCCGCATTGGCTTTTTTATACCAGTAATTGGGTACTGCCACAAGGTATGCCGTAAAACAGATGGCGGGATACATGACATTGCTGGAAGCTTGGATTTATGAGCATTTTGTTGGTGCTAGACCCCACCCCAATTTGCACTATAAAGAAGATCAGCCTCGTGTCTTTCGTTGGATTTCTCGCACCCAATCTGGTTCGT